TCACTGAATTACTGATTTGAGTTTTCAAGATTTGTTGTTGTTGTTGTTGGTTTACATTCTGTAAAGGAGCTAGTGTTGGAATCAGTGACACTTTTCTTGGTGTTCTGGATTCTAAAGGTGCTCTGTAATTAAATGTAGTTCAACAATTCAGTTTTTTGTGGTTTTTTAACACAACCACCACCAGTACAATCCTGTCTGGAGTATCAGTACCTTTTATTTGGATCTGATGTACTGTCTTTTAGTAACAAACTGAAGGTAATATTAAAATATATTGTAAATTTAGCTGAATATAATTTTTAACAACTAAAGTTTACTTAAAAGAACTAATCATCAAATGATAGTTTATTAATGACGCTGACATGATTTCAAAATAGATTTAATAAAACATTTAAAATTACATTCTCTTAAAGGAAAATGTTATGTGCTGGCTCATCTGAATAATGATACTAATAAGTCTGTCTGGGGCCAAGGTTTAGAATGCATCTGGATTCTTGTTAACTGAAAACTGAGAACTGTGGATGTGTTCAGTAACTCCAGAAATAAAGAAACCCAAAGCACACAAACAAAAAACCCCACAACAACAACCTGTACCTTTTATCTCTGATCTCATTTTCATGAATGATTTAAATAAATGGATTACAGTCATGTAAAATAAATAGTTAAATTAAGCCATAGACTTCAGTGGGATTCATTTGATTCTTGGCATAACTGTTACTTGATTTTATTCTGGGTGCCATTTTGATTAAGTGTTTATGAAGCACTGGGTCATGGAAAAATTTCCAATTCTTTCCCTGAAAAAGTTCATCATGCTAGGAAGTAAGATGTATTTTACAAAGAACAAAGTAAATTAAGTTTATGACATTTTATTCAATGAATAAAAATTGAATTTAGAAACTGAGAAACATTTATTTTAAATATATAATGCCATAAAATATTGTCACTTATCTTCAGCTTGCTTCATAAGTTTGACAGTGTCATATACTGAGTAGGTCTCAAATCATTAGAAATAAAGACTAAAAATACAAGGCAATCTTAATGCTTGATTTTCACGGAGACGTAAATTAGGTGTCATTTTAATGAAACTAATGTGTTTAAAACACAATAAACTGTGAAAATCAGGCCCTGAGTCCTTAACTGACTTTTAATTTGTCAGCTGTTCTACCTAACATCTTGCAGGAACAGCAAGGTACGATAGATATATCAGCAAGTGGCGATATATCTGAGCCAGACTGCAAAACTTGAAAAACAGGTGAGTAACTTGATTCTTTTACTGATGAAACCAATTTTATAGCAATACTCCTCTTTGGAGACCTAGAAGGACTCGTTTGCTGGAGGAAAGAAAAAAAAAAAAGAACAAGGAATGTACTTTGGCCATGTAAATTCCTTTCTTGAAACATCATGTCTATGGTCAAATAGTAACTTCCCAACGAGCACTTGAATCTCAATTTCCCATAAGATTTATCCTCACATATGTGGTGGTTCTCCCCCAGCTGGCCTGGGGGATTCGGGAAGATTTAAAGTTAACAGGAACCTTTGTTCAGGGGAGAATTACGCCCGGACCCGGAAGTTGTAACAATATGGTTTTCCGGTAAAATGTGCTGAACACAGCAAAATGTGTTTCGTGACATGCGCAGTAAGCAGAGTTATATAACACCGTTAGTGGCCAATGGAAGAATATTTATGTATGTGGGAACCAGTGGAGAGTTGACATGTGTAGCCTAAAAAAGTGTATAAAAGCAGCAGACATCGTGCAATAAAGTGTTCCAGCCTCTGGATCCACACGGGTTTTGTGTCGTGTCCCGCCTCAACCGCGACACACATATTTTAGTTTAGATGTGCAAAATATTATTGTTTGATGAGTATTGTAACTTGGAAGCATTGTAAAATTTATTCCTGGAGAATCAGCTTCTTCCTGGATGTGTTACATATACAATCAGAATTCCCAGTTTGTGAAAACTTGTTCTCCCATATAGTACATTTTAAAGTTATTTAGAAAAGAGTTCCTCAGAAGTAAATAATTTAATGTGCTACCTGAGGGGAAAAAGGAATAACTGCTACAAACCACCTTTTGACACAGACACAGAGTATCTGAAGTATGGGAAGATACAGTAAATCTAAAAGATAAACAGAAAAGTATGCAAAAAAACCATAGGAATAATCATAAAGTTATAAATAAAATGTGGATGTCAAATTGAAAAATGCATGCATTGCCTTAGAAGCAAGCAACCATAACACTATAACATACAAACTGCAACATGGAGTCAAGCCAGTGGTCCATCTAACCCACCCAGCAATGGTCACGATGAGAGGTTATGCAGAGAAGAGGATAGGGGCACAATATATATATGCAATATTTCTTCCTAGCATTTTCCTATCCCAGAACAGACAGATGAGATCAGACTGAAGCAAATTTTTGCCAGAATTCCCCATGCTCAGTAAGTATTCCCACAACTTCAAAAGACCTCCCCGTAACCACAGGGTCATGCTTTTGACTTTCCAC